GAGAGAGAGAGAGAGAGAGAGAGAGAGAGAGAGAGAGAGAGAGATAGATATGGAGAGAGAGCGAGAGAGGTGTTTGAGTGAAAAAGAATAATTAACCAGCTACAAAACTTGACGTTTTAGAATAACATTTGAGTGGAGCATGGGTGTTATATCACTTTATACATGCATAATACAGCATCTGTACTTTAGACGAACCATATATGTACGTTGCAATATGTTCAACACAGATTCCATGTACGATATTCAGCAGTACATTCTTGCGTTCACGTCGTTGCACTATGTAACTTCAGTAATTCTATATTGATTTTCCCCATTTTAACATATCCTGGATATATCGTCTTTAGAACATACTGACAGTCTTAGCATTATTCGTTTCCTGGTCAATGATCCTTCCCAACATAGCTACTCTGATTGTTGAAGAAGTTGTTCATTTCAGTGATCTACCAATGTCAGAAAACTACAGCTATGTGAGATGTCCGACATGGGTAGTCAGTGTAGAAAGCTGTTTACGCCGATGAATCTAGTCAATTGTAAACATACAACAGCCAAGTCGACACCGAGAGTCGAGTTTTCTAGAGAACGTAAAGACACTTAGGCGTGCTTCGTTACAACATTAATGACTTAAGAGACCTGGCTTCGCATGGTTCTGAGTGTTTTGATAGAACTAGGGAAGCATTTTGTTCCTGTAGAGTTCAATTGCGAAAACATAATTGGAAATGAATCGATATATTCATCCATAAAACATCAATCGTTTTGCCTCTGAAAAGATGCAGTTGAAGAAAATCAAATATGAAATGAAACACTTATAGTGGAAAGAGGCAGCGGATTTGTTGAAAGAAGAATGAAATCTCAGAGTTACATGGTGGATCATTACGGTTATTTAGTGGACCACATGGTGGGTCACCACAGTTACATAGCGGATCACAACAGTTACATGGTGGATGTAGTAGATAATAACAGTTACATGTTGGATCATCACGGTTACATAGTGGACTAAATATAGGATCACTACAGTTACATAGTGGATCATCACGGTTACATAGTGGATCATCACGGTTACATAGTGGATCATCACAGTTACATAGTGGACGTCCACATTTACATAGTGGATCATCACGGTTACATAGTGGATCACTACAGTTACATAGTGGATCATCACGGTTACATAGTGGATCATCACGGTTACATAGTGGATCATCACGGTTACATAGTGGATCATCACAGTTACATAGTGGATCATCACGGTTACATAGTGGACGTCCACATTTACATAGTGGATCATCACAGTTACATAGTGGATCATCACGGTTACATAGTGAACGTCCACATTTACATAGTGGATCATCACAGTTACATAGTGGATCATCACAGGAATAGGTAACACAAATGATCCTGTTCCACATGATATATACTAGGAACGAGTCTGAGATAGACAAGACGGGGGCGGTGTGTGGTCCTGTACATAGATCCCAGGTCACACATCAGTTGCATTTTAGCAGCGTTGGTCACGGAGAGTCGTTGTACTTCTGGCCGTGTCCTGCAGCTGGACTCCTGAAAGTTTCTAGGACTTTTGTTTTGCCCGAAGTACACGTGACACATATGAGTTTGTTTAAGATTGCTTCTGTTCATCCAGCAGTAAATGGGTACCCGGTGGTATAAGTCATATGACTATTTTCCTTCTAGCGCCTCACGGGCAGCTTGGTTTAACAGGAGTAATCATGTCCATTATGTTGTGTTGCGCGTGGAGCATGTTCACGTCATAGAAGTGACTTTTGATTGGCATTCTAGAAGCTGAGGAGATGAAGAATGAGGATATGACGTTGATTGACATTAGACATTAGAATCCTACAGATGGACAGAACCTTGTTTTAGTGATGAAGTCAACACTATTTTTCCTTATTGAACACAACTGGAAATTTTAGATATTTTGCTCGCAGTCGGAATTGCCTACCATGTCAATGGTAAATCAATGCCAATAGAATGAGTGAGTGAGTGAGTGAGTGAGTGAGTGAGTTGGGTTAATCCCCACTTCAAACAGTATTCCAGTTATATTTTGGCGTGTACGTCTGGACAAAAGTCCCAAACAATTTCAAGTCTGAGACGTGTACGCCCTTTGGGAGCCCAGGGTACGGGTATTGTGCTGACAAACCTAGATATCCAATCTGGGCGAATCTGGGTTCGAACCCACTGTAGAGATCTCCGGGGTAGCCAACTGAAGCAGCTCGGCACAACGACGACTGGGCCCCTGTGTCCCTTGTCTTCCAGGATGTGCTATAGATTTGTGAGTGAGTATGGTTTTACCCCACTTTTAGCAATATTCCAGCAACATCATGACGGGGAACACCAGAAATGGGCTTCCCATATTGTACCCATGTGGGGAATCGAACCCGGGTCTTCAGCGTGACGAGCGGACGCTTTAACCACTGGGCTACCCCACCGCCACCTATAGGTTTGTACACGTTTGTATACTACAGATAACTGGAACACCAGAGTCAGTCATAGAAAAGCCAAAAAATGACGCGATATTTGGCTGGCAAACCAAGGTCTATGATGACAAAGAATCTTGGATTCGAACTAACGTTCAGCGGATCTTTACACTGTTACAGCATCCACGAAACCACCTCGAATTATGAGCACTTATACAAGGGCCAATAACAATGAATCAATATACATAAAACCCGTTTGCATAAAACTTGTCTCAATTCGCTTGTGCTTTGTGTCCTGCAAAAACTGCAGAATGACATCAAGGTATGAAACATCACCAAAACCGCCAGTAAGATGATACACTTGTTCTCAAACGTTTGTTCAGATAACATCATTGGAAGTAGAAATATCATGACGTGCGATTACATAGACATATTTTCCTTGCCCCGACTCAAATGCGAACCGCACGGTCATACCTGTGATATCGAATCAGTAGATATCCATTTAATATTTTTTTAGCCTAATGGATAATAGCTCATCGTAAAGTTTTTGTCCATTACCACTTGACAAACGGCCGAAATAGTCCACAAAAAGTTAAAGTTAAAAGTTGGAAATTAGTTTTTCAGTCTAACAGTTTCACAAAGCTTTTGCCGTGTAATAACGGGAGGAACTTGATGATGATTTATTCTTGAAAATGGCTTTTCAGAACCTTTCATAAGGACAACAATCTTAGCTATAACAGGGTGCTTTGCACAAGGAAACGATACCCCCGCAGTAGGATTCCTCCACATGTTGACACTATATTCCCTACTGAATCCAAAATGGAATTGCATTCAGTCTTTATTTGATTATTCGGTCGTTGGAAAACTATATATTAGTTCTACTGTCTCCGTCAATAAGGCGTACATAGTAAAAGCGGGGAGTGATTTACTACCGACGTATTTCAAAAGGTTGCATACTATCAGGGAAAGAAACCTTTCAAAAGTTCCCACTTGACCACGGGACCAGTGAGTGGACAATAATTAGTGGTCATGTCTGTACTTCACTGGTACAAAAAAACATTCGTAGATCTACTATCAATTAAACTATCAATACGAAATTCACTGGCCACCAGGACCACTACAAACTTATCATTTAGAGGTCCTGATGAATTTTACTAGCCAGGGACCACAGGACCAGCGTACATTTCGCACACTGCATACTGTATGAGTAAAGGGGAACGTGGGTGGATGGATGAATGGATGGACGGATGGATGGATGGACGGATGGACGGATGGATGGATGGATGGACGGATGGATGAATCAGTTGATTCCCTTCTTAAGAAACAGGTGATTGAGGGTTATGTTAAATGGCAGAGAGTGAAAACAATGTTTAATTTCCTGAAACCCTCAATGTCACTGCACGTAACATTTTGTACATGCATAATTCAACACTGAATTAGTCAAGCGGTATTTGAGCGATATTTTATTTTATCTGATCAAAATTAAATTCCAGTTGCATTATGTACCTTTGGTATTTCCATCACATTAAACAGGGTATCTCCAGTTCACTCAAATTCAAATTTAAAATCAAATAAGTCGTCTCTAGGAAATTTTAGTTTATACTGATTTAACTAGAATTGTAAGCCAAACTAATCGCTTGTGGGTCATCGTTTTGTCACTGGGCTTTTGAAACAAGCTATTCTCGACGTAACATCTAATGAGACAATTAGAATTTTGAACTTTTTCTCTATATGGAAGAAATATCTTAAAATTATATAAACTATATAATCATCAAATCCCACATTTGATGTACTGATTTTGTAAAAGGATACTCTCGCTCTCGCCTTAAATTATAAAGTGAAAATTGTCATACAGAAAGAATACAAATTGCTGACTTACAGATATTTCTTACCCACGAAAAACTATCTCATAGATATAAAATGCTGGTGAGTTGAGGACACAGTTAAACAACGGTAAGCTATCAATGAAAAAATAAAGTCTAATTTAAGGTAATTGGTCCAATACGAATAGTCTTCTGGACATATGTGATTAATGGATTAGTATCTACTTTAGAGAAAGTGGAAATCGATATTCCAAAATACCGAATAGGGTGTTCCTATTTTGCAGATCTAGTCCTGGGGTGAGTGAATATAGATTTTATGTTGAATTCTCAGTTCCCCAAGCATGACGAAACTGGTTTGGACTAATTATTTCAAATTTGAAGAAGTCTGTACAAGTATATATTTAGTTTGAGGTGATGAACAGCTAATAATGAATTAAACAACCGAAACTGGAATCAGTTAATACCGTATCCATTGTCAATATATCAGTTTTTCAAGTCTATAATCTTTTATTGTACAGTGTTTTATAAAATTAAATTAATCATAAAGAAAATGGATTTGGTGCCCATGAGAAATAACATAAAAACAACATGACATCGTGACGCCGTAATGTGCCTAAGTGCATACAGTTGTTATATAGACACAAATCGACACTGACCTCCACGATTCCATCGGGAACGCTATTATCGTCACGATAAGGCTGACACAAGTAATTTGACACCAGAATTCTATTAAATATTTAAGGTAACTTACCTGCAAAACCTCGTGTTGTTATTAGAGCCACACAAACAAAGAAAGCACCGATTCTTGAACAGTTCATGGGAGTCATCGTGTAATAGTAGAGCAAAATATTTGCAACGATGATGGGAACTTCAGAAATAGTTAGTCTTCTTTTTGAAAAAAATATTCTCAATCTGTTTTGACTGTCGAAGAATTTCAGCAAATGAACACCACTTTCTTTCCTAGAACTAAGGATGTATCCAGAACTTTGGACAAGTGATCACGAGCGGATCCTCAGTCTTAAACTTGTACAAAGTAGTCCTTATGTGTTATTGAGGCTTGTAGCAATTCATGTTTCAAAGAGGCGCTTCCTTCCAACTTAACCTGTCTCCTCTGACGTCCGCTCGTTTTGGCGTTTCTGTGCTGTTTCCTCCCAGGTCCGCGCGATTGCTCACTTTCACGTCCGCGCGCGTGATGCCGATGGGCCTGTTTGCCCGCTGGATGCTGGTAGTTGACGCCTTTCCCTCCTACACTATTTGTGGCCGACCCGGCGAATCACATGACCCTCTGGATGCATGGACTGTAGGATTCGATCGAAAACGCCCCAAATGAAATGTCAGTGATTTCCTTGTCGTTAAGAATCAATATGCAGGCAAAACTTATTTGCACGGAGCAAAGGTGTTACTTGGAAGGAGACGGGCCAGACGAGGCAACAACTAAATAGCACAGGGTCTAATGTAGATAGCACTGGTGAAAGGCATTAGTCAAAGAAATGAAAGCTAGAGGGGTGTTAGTAGGGGGGCGATGGGACGTGTTTACAGTGCCCACGCTCATCTATGTATCTGTTGACGTGATGAGGAAATTGGTTAAGCTGACGTATTTCACCCCCATGATAATGAGTTCGGGCGTGTTTCTCGCTCTCCCTCTTCCCCTCCCCCTCTCTCGCTCTTCTCTGAGTTGTGTGTGTGTGATCTTTGTGTGTGTGTTTTTTTTCGTTTAAGAGTGCGCGTGCGTGTGTGAGAGAGGGAGGGGGGGGGGGGGGAGGGAAGGAGAGAGTCAGTCTGTGTTGTTGGAAGCTATAATGAAAGTCATCATGACATCTGTAGAGCGTATGCCGAGTCTATGTTGCTACATGTTGGTATTGGATTTCTAAGTCGTTATAAAGATCACTGTCGATTAACCAGAACCCAGCGAAGTTAAGAATTTAAACAGATCTTACCTAAAAGTCAATGAGGATGCAGCATAACAAGCAAGATTATGAGATGAGATAAGTAGAAGTAGAAATTTTAGAAGAGGAATAGCATGGATCGTGGCTATCAACATGGGCTGCATGCTGGGCCTGATTGCTGGCTATTGCTGGGCCTAGTAGGTGCTGCTTCAATGCAACAGTCTATAAATATGATCATACAGACGGTAAGTTGTTTTTATGAGATCAACAAAATAGGGTCCGTAATATAATCTATTTATCTATGTAGAGGGTTTCTCTAGATTCTCACCTTGGACGAAAATAGACCATGAGTGAGTGAGTATAAGTTTTTTCCTTATAACCTTTTCATTATAAACGTAGTGAACTGTTCCTATACTTGCAGATCATTCTCCTGCAACCCGTGCTTATGGGAAAGGCAAGTAACGGGATCGGATGGTCCAGCTCGCAGACCTAGTTGATGCATGTTATCGAATCCCGGTTGCGTCGATCGATGTTCATGATGTAAATGACGAGACCGTCCGGTCAAGACTTGATTATTTACAAAGAGAGAGTGAGTATGGTTTTACGCCGCTTGCAATTTTCCAGCAATACCACACCGCGGACACCAGGAATGGGCTTCACGCAGGAATAGAACCCGGGTCTTCGGCTTGATGAGCGAACACTTTAGCCACGAGGCTATCCTACTGCCCCCGAGGCCAAGAGTGTCCAGTCATCGTTGGGGTTGCCAACTTTAGGCGTGTCAGATTCTAGTGGTCGTTGGTTCGAATCCACCATCCACAGGTTGGTCAGCAGCTAACCCTTGCAGGAATGTTTCATCAAACTGGAAAAAGGCTTGATTCACTTTGTTATTTTCTCCAATATCAACTTATGAAGTTGACCGTGACACTGTTAAAAGCAGTGTTAAACCAAACACAATCATTTTGACAGGGGGGCTGTCGAACAATGGGAACAATATAAGGGAATCATATACGGTCGTGAAGATTGTGACTCAAGGACATAACTGATTATAATTAATATCATTTGATGCAACGCCACAATCCCTACCAAAAAAACAACAACACACACCTCCACCACCACCCAAAACTGAACAAAGCAAAAACAAAAAAACAAACAAACAAAAAACATCCTCCCAAAAAACAAACAAACAAAAAACAAACAATAAAACCAATAATAAACAAAAAAACCCAACACACAACAACATCCAAAAATAAAATATAATAAAATATAAATAAAATAAAAATTAAAACCCTGCCCCAACCCCACCCGCTCTAAAATAACAGAATCAAAACACAAAAACAAACAAACAAGCAGTCCCCACACCCTACTTCTGTTTCCCATTATCGTTCGATGCGTCGTTGTAAGTATGATAATTTGTTGTTATTTCACATGGCACAATATTAATCCTATATGATTGGGGTTTGCCATTAATCAAGTCTAGACAAGACAATCCAGTGATACGATGGCCTGCATGCTTAAAGCCCAAGAGTCAACCACCCCACCCCGTAACTCGCCCCTAAAGACAAGCGTCGTTTGCTGAAGTGCCATTCTAACGTGGTTGTTCACGGGGGGACACGTACACTTAATAGGGCGAAATGTGGAATTGGAACCAACTACCATGTTATATTCAGGAATCTATTAGCAGAAATATCACATGCAACCGTGTGCTAAGATCAACATGCAACCGTGTGCTAAGACCTACATGCAATGATAACCGTGTGTTAAGATCCACATGCAACCGTGTGCTAAGACCCACATGCAGTGATAACCGTGTGTTATCATCCACATGCAACCGTGTGCTAAGATCCATCTGCAACCGTGCTAAGATCAACATGCAGCTGTGTGCTAGGACCCACCAGCAAGCGTGTGCTAAGAACCACATGAAGTATCAACCATATGCTAAGATCCACATGCAACCGTTTAATAGGATCCACATGCAACCGTTTACTAAGATCCACATGCAACCAAGTCCCACATAAAGAGGCAATCGTGCTAAGATCGACATGAGGTACCAACCGTGTGTTTAAGACCCACATGCAACCGTGTGCCAAGATCAAGATGCAGCCGTGTGCTAAGATCCACATGCAACCGTTTGCTTAGATCCACATGATCCACATGAAGTATCAATTGTGTGCTAAGATCCACAAGAAGTATCAACCGTGTGCTAAGATTTACATGAAAATGCAACCGTGTTGTAAGCCATACATACATACTTATGTGGTAAGTATAAGTGAATTTGCAGCCATGTATATACATGTAGTTCATTGTCTTTAACAGAATTGCTCAAGAGCTTATTTATTGTTATATAATACGTAATGAGTATAGTCACTTTTTAAACAAAATATCGATTTTCCTCCAACATTTACGTTTCCCTCATAGTGTTATAACGTACATGCCAGTGTTTTTGTTGTTGTTTTTTAAAAATATATTTGGAATGCCAGAAACCTAATATCGTAAGTTCGAATCCCGGTTTGAGTATAATATGTTTGTAGGTCTGTCAGTTCCGGGCTCGAGGGTTAACGTCCCCAAGTGGTAAACATCAAACACCAGCATATTCTCCTTGAGTAAATGAGTGAGTGAGTTTAGTTTTACGCCGCTTTAAGCAATATTCCAGCAATATCATGGCGGGGGACACCAGAAATGGGCTACACACATTGTACCCATGTAGGGAATCGAACCCGGGGTTTTGGCGTGACGAGCGAACACTTTAACCCCACCGCCCATCTTTCTCCTTGAAAGAAAATAATTTTAGTTTGAGAAATTTGGGATTAGACGTATTATTGATAACAAGTAGTCTTACAATACGAAGTCGCAACAGCAATTACCCATGAAGATCCGGGTTAGAATTGATCTTCATGCTTGAGGCGATTAACAGGATCGGATGGTCAGGCTCGCTGACTTGGTTGACACATGTCATCGTATCCCAATTGCGTAGATCGATGCTCATGCTGTTGATCCCTGGATTGTTTGGTCCAGAGTCGATTATTTACAGACCGCCATTATAGAATATAGCTGGAATATTGCAGAGTGCGGCGTAAACCTAAACTCACTCACTTACGCAATAGCAATTGGTCTTACTGTACTGAGAATACAGTGATGTTCATTAGTACACCAACGAGGCTTTCTTTGCCGTAGTCTGTATGCCATGTAATCACTCAAACTTTGACGCTTCTAATTCTCTCACAAAAATATCGCTAACCAAATATCCTACAAGCTTAGACATTACTGTCAGTAATTTTTATTCAAACCCGGCTGTGTCGACTACTGATTTCGACGTTATTCCGACAAACACACCACTAAATTCACTTTGTTGAACACAGAATTGCAGAAGAACGCCATGTGTGTTAACGCCCCAGAATTACCACTGAAATAAGATTTCACATAGAATATGTCAAGCACTTGTGTCCTGGCTGCCTTCCAATGATGATAATGAAATAAGTGGTTAAGGTTTCGTGTCGCTTTGAATGGTATTTCACATCAAGTCAGCTGGACGCTGGACGACCAGTGACGATAATACATGTATATAGATATACCTAAATTGCACTTATCGCCAAAATACTAACTATTCATATCATGTTTTGTTTTGGTTGTTCCTTAGCGCCTAGATGGTAGGGTAGCCTGGAGGTAAAAGCGTTCGCTCGTCACGCCGAAGACCGGGGTTCGATTCCCCACATAGGTACCATGTGTGAAGCCCATTTCTGGTGTTCCCCGCCGTGATATTGCTGGAATATTGCTAAAAGCGGCTTAAAAACTAAACTTAGTCAGTCAGTCAGTCCTTAGCGCCTGGATGGTAGGGTAGCCTGGAGGTAAAAGCGTTCGCTCGTCACGCCGTGAAGCCCATGAAGCCCATTTCTGGTGTTCCCCGCCGTGATATTGCTGGAATATTGCTAAAAGCGGCTTAAAAACTAAACTTAGTCAGTCAGTCAGTCCTTAGCGCCTGGGTGGTAGGGTAGCCTGGAGGTTAAAGCGTTCGCTCGTCACGCCGAAGACCGGGGTTCGATTACCCACATAGGTACAATGAGTGAAGCCCATTTCTGGTGTCCCCCGTTATATTGCTGGAGTATTTCTAAAAGCGGCGTAAAACCAAACTCACTCACTCACTGAGTAGAACACGGTCCAAGCCATGAATATAACGGAATGATATACAGAAGTATAACATTATTATTTAATAAGCTAAACATGTACATTAGTATAAACATGATATAAGAGTACTACGATATATTTAACAACCAGCAATTATTTGACTTATGAGACACTGTTAAGACATAGCACATATATGCAGCATAAAAAATGGTAGTTAGATGACAAAAAAAGAAAGATAATTAAAAGAGTAAAAATATAAAATGTATAAGAGCAATTACATAAAAGACTGACGTCTTAAAACATACTTTTTACAGTTAAAGCTATATTTTCTAATTTTGCGATGCCACCAAAAGTAATAAATTATTGAGAATATCAATAAAAATTGGTAGATAGATGATAAAAAATGAAAAATAGTT